TGTGCCACCACTGCCCGGCTTCCCCTCCCTTCTCATGTCCCCATAATTTGTTTCTATCCTACCTCATTTTCACAGCTTTGAAATTTTTTTCTCTTATTATTTTGAGAGTGTGTGTGTGCCACCACTGCCCGGCTTCCCCTCCCTTCTCATGTCCCCATAATTTATGTTTCTATCCTACCTCATTTTCACAGCTTTGAAATCTTTTTCTCTTATTATTTTGAGAGTGTGTGTGTGTGTGTGTGTGTGTGTTTGTAGCACAATAAATAAAAGACCCAGAGACAGATATTGGGGCTCAAGCTTCAAGTTGAAGATTAGAAAAGCAAAGCAGCCAGCCCCTAGCTCTTACCTCTACCTCAGCTCACACCAAAGGGACGATCCTCAAACTGCTCCCGACTTCACTGCTCCTCAGATTCACTCAGACAGCTTTGCCCTCCTCAACGTGGTTAGAGACTAACTCTCAGATTGAATGCCTTTTATACCTCTCAAATCCTGGGATTATAGGCGTGAGCTCTGATTCGCTCTCCAGTAGCCCAGGGTGGTCTTGGACTCAGAGATCCATCTGTCTTTCTCCTGAGTCCTGGGATTAAAGGTGTGTGCCACCACTGCCTGATCTCTATAGCTTGGGGCTGGCTTTGCTTTCTGAATCCTTAGGCAAGCTTTAATAACTCATAAATAATGTATCACCGTATGTGTGGGTGCCTGGTACCCAGGGAAGCCAGAAGAAGTTCCTGGATCCCTGGAGCTAAAATTACAGACAGCTGTAAGCTGCCGCCATGGGTGCTCAGAACCAAACCCAGGTCCTCTGCAAGGGCAGTGAGTGCTCTTAACTGCTGAGTCATCTCTACAGCCCTGGATTTATTTTTATATTTATTCAATATTATGTGTATGTGTATACATTTTTTGAAAATGTATGCCACAGGTTTTGGATACCTTTGGAATCCACAGAAGATGGCACCAGATTCCCTGAAATTGGAGTTAAAGGCTTCCTAATGTGGATGCTGGAAATTGAAGAGCAACATGTGTTCTTAACCTATGAGCCATCTCTCCAGACCAAGACATTTTTCTTCCTTCCTGCTTCTGGGGGCTGAACCCATGTTAGCCAAGCTCTCTACCACTGAACTACAACCCCCCCCAAACTAATGATACTTTTTCTCTTGGTGTGTTGGTGATTTGGTTCCACTGTTCTCTGCCTTCCGGTGCTACCATGGAGAGCTCTGCAGCCATGCTGGTGCTCTGTTTTTGGTGACCTGTTATGTTTTTGCTTGTCTTCAAACCATTCTCTGCTTACCTCCTATGGGGAACCACAGTTTTGTGCAGAAGCTGGTTTTTTTTTTTGTCTTGTAGCCACAGCACCCATTCTGTTGCTGAGTGTCATTTTAATAAAGTTTGAGTCTTTCCTTATTCTGTGACCCTACACTCTTTCTTTTTTACTTTGTTTGTTTAGTTTTTTATTTACTCAGTTTTTCGAGACAAGGTTTCTCTGTGTAGCTTTGGAGCCTGACTTGGAACTCACTCTGTAGACCAGGCTGGCCTCAAACTCAACAAAGGTCTGACTGCTCTACGTCCTGAGTGCTGGGATTAAAGGCGTGTGCCACCAACGCCTTTCAGCTCATCCACACTGTTTCTAAAGGTACTTTATCATGGCACTTGAGTTAGTGTGACACTTATTGTTTAAGTGTCTGTTTTTGCTCAGTAAATTAGGAGATCCTTGAAGACAATCTGTTTCTAGCACCCAGCATGAACCTGGTATGGAGTAGATGTTCAGTGATTATTTGTGGCATAGAACAAGGATGGACAGATAGATGGGCCAACATGGCCTATCGCTGTTTGTGTGCCTATAACGCAAGTGGAGCCATCTGTCTCCCCTGTAGCTCCACAGGACTATGGCCTTTTCACTCCAGCAGGAAGCTGAGACCCACACCGAACTCTTCCTTTTCCCTGGGCAACTACCCACGGTCACCCCTTTTGCCGTATCCCATTGACAGATCAACCTTCGTCAACCCTGTCCTCCAGGAAAGCCTCACAGCAAGTCAAGAGGATATCAGAAGCCAGAGCATGCATGAGTTTTTGTCTAAAAAAGGTGAGCATAAGATTGGAAATTTAAGGTCTCTTTCATTGTTTTTAATGTATGTGTGTGTGTGCATGCAGGCATGCTTGTGATTGTGTATGCATGTGAGTGTGTGTATGTGTGTGTGTGTGTGTGTGTGTGTGTGCATGTGAGTGCAGGTGTCCTCAGAGGCCAGAGAAGGTGTCTGATCCCCTGGAGCTGGAGTTATAGGCTGTTGCGAGTCACCTGACACGGTCATTGGGAACCACACGTGTATCCTCTGGAAGAGCAGCAAACACTCTTAACTGCTGAGTGTCTCCAACTTAAGAGCAGAGGTGATTTAAAGGAGATGTGGCCAAAGAATCTCTACCTCACACAGGTGTCAAGTAAGAGCAGGGTGTCTCTGCTTCCCTCACAGATGATGCCAGCAGGTCTCCTAAGTGATCTGGGTGTGGTAGCTCACACCTATAGACCCAACCCTTAGGAGTCTGACTTGGGAGAATTGCTAAGCATTCCAACCAGCCTGAGCTACATAGCGAGTTCTAGGCTATCCTAGGCTACAAAGTCAGACCTTGTTCTCTGAAGGTGTGAATAATATTTCTTCCTATTTGAATTCAGACCCTCATGTGTATCAGGAAGAGAGCTGTGAGCCTGCTTCCTTCTCTGTTATAGAAATAAATATACTTTCTCAGTGGCTTCAGATCTCTGTGCTACCCCTCACCACCCTGTGCAAGCTTCATGTCAGTGGCCTTTGTCTGGAAAATAGAAAACCAGCTTGGACCATCTTTGGCCCCTGGTGCTGTTGGATCTGCTCCACAGATGGAAAGAAAGGAGTGGAGAGATCATGTCGTAATCTGTGGTTTGTCTGGGTAGGAGGATTTAGACTGAATAGTGACAGTTTTTAACATCGATGACAAATGGGACAGCTGAGAACCTGTGGGACCAATAGGAAAAAGTGCTGAGACTTGGCTTTTTTTTTGTTTTCAATTAAGGCAAGGTCTCACTGTTTCCCAGCCTGGCTTTGAACTACAGATACTCCTGCCTTAACCTCCCAACTGCTGGCTGTGTTCACCGCCATGCTCAGCTTCATTTTGTAACAGCCTGCTTATTAATTAGAATGGTAATTTTTCGCCCTCAGTAAAATTCAGTCTTAAAGGTTTTTGTTAAGTGTGTGTGTGTGTGTTGTCTCATATGTACAAGTGTACATGGTGGAAAAACTTACAGAAATGGAATTACTAGAGCAAAATACACACATTAGATCATTCCCCAAGAAAATAGTACAGTTGGAATTCACTTGCCCCTAGGCCTATGCTGATAATTGTCTAGTTATTTCTTGCTATCCTGATGAGGAGAAATGGCTATTTGTTGTCGCAATAGACCACATACACATAGATCCTTTTATTATTATTATTATTATTATTATTATTATTATTATTATTATTATTTATTTTGGCCATTCCCCGAGGAGGCATCTTAAAACTGGAGTTACTGGGTCAGAGGCATGGGTGCTGGAAACATGGAGTGTCAGTTACCTTTATTATTATTATTATTATTATTATTATTATTATTTATTTTGGCCATTCCCCGAGGAGGCATCTTAAAACTGGAGTTACTGGGTCAGAGGCATGGGTGCTGGAAACATGGAGTGTCAGTTACCTTTCCTACTGCTATGATAAGATACCCTGAGAAGGGGGCTGGAGAGGTGGTTCAGTGGTTAAGAGCACTGGCTGCTCTTCCAGAGGATCGGGGTTCAATTCCCAGCAACCACAAGATGGTTCACAACCATCTGTAATGGATCTGGTACCCTCTTTTAGCCTGCAGGTATACATACAGACAGAACACTGTAAAATAAATAAATAAATAAATCTTAAAAAAAAAAAAAGAAGTACCCTGAGAACAACAACCCAAGGGAGAGAGGCTTTGTTTGGGCTCATGTAACAGACCATAAAGGTAGGGAATTGACAACAGTAGGAGCATGAGGCAGGTGGTCACATTGTGTCCACACTCAGGAAGCAGAGACCCAACCATGAATGCTAGTTCTAAGCTCATGTTCTCCAAGTCAGTCTGGGATCCTTACACAGGAATGGCCACACCCACAGTGAAGATAGTCAATGAAGATAATCCCTCACAGATATGCCAAGAAGCTAAATATTCCCTTACATTTTTGTTTGGAGACTTTTGAGTGACTCTAATTCGTGTTAAATTGACAACACTCATCACACAGGATAATATCCTTTCCTTTTCTTTTATCCCTCCTCAGTCCCACCCTGCCTGCAAAATCCCCAAGATGACTTTAAACAAATTCAATATTTACGGGAACAGCCCGCTGCTCGTGTACTTCTTCCTCAACTACTCCAGGCTGCGGCCACATGGCCAGGATGTGCTGATGAACAGGAGCGAAAAGACCAAACTCATCCCATATCCTTGTCACCAGACTTCTGCCACCTCTTTGCAGAAGCAGGGCATGAGGGGAAGCATCCAGGCTTTAGCTAGTAGCCTGGCACACAGTGGGTACTTGGTAGGCACAACCATGGTATGTACCTCACGGGGTAGAGTCTTGCTCATGTGCTAAGGTAAGCCTTAATCCAGGCCTTGGGTCCTGGCCCGTAGACCCTGAGCATGCCAAATTTCCCCATGTGCATCTTTCAGCATCAACTTAGGGACTATAGCCACCCTGATGCTCTCTGACCTAAAAGTGTATGAACCATCAGTTTTGGCATCCATGTGAGAGTTTCATCTAATCTCCTCCTTCTCAGCTCCATTTGGTAAAAAGCTCAACTCTTGGGAAACAGTTACAGCATGTGTTGGTAGCCTGAGCCCTAGCAACATGCCTTGGGGTTATAACATGGGTTCGATTGGGAATCAAGTTTTCTTTGTTTGTCCAAAAAGCTCCAGACTCTGGGACTAATGCTACACTAGCCAGTCAGTGACTTGGGAAACATTCCAGTTTCTCTGTGGGCATCATTTGTTTCATCAGTAAAATCAAAATAAGGGTTTCTGCCTCGGGGGTGTTGTTTGTTTTTTGAGACAGAGTTTCTCTGTGTAGCTTAGCTGTCCTGGAACTCACTCTGGATTCCAGGCTGGTCTCGAACTCACAGAGATCTGCTTGCCTCTGCCTCCCGAGTGCTGGGATTAAAGGCATGTGCCACCACACCCAGCTTCAGGGGCACTTTTGCAGATTGATTCCCAGAGCCACAGAGGGTGCTTAGTGAATGCCTGGTACTCTGTTGCCCTTGCTGGTTCATGGGCTGGAGGGCACTAGGAGTGCTTTTCCTCTCCTGCCCTTAGAGCTTCATGTCACAGATTTCTGAAGGATAGTGACAGCTGCCACTAGGCAGCATGGTCCAAATTGTCCTGGCATCACCCCATTCTTTAGGTCACTGTGGCTCCAGAGATAGCACCTGGCTGGGATGTACCAACCTTAGCAGCCTTACCCTCCAAGCTCCCAAAGTGAAGATACCCTGCCAAGCTAGTAAAGTTGTGCCTGGATGGTGTATAGCAGGCACTTTATGAAGAGCTGTCATCACTGTTGTCACCATTCTCTAAAGGAAGGGCTATCTCTTCTTTTGGAGAGGTTCTTGAGTTAGGGTCTCACAATATAGCTGAGTCTGGCCTCAAATTCAGGGCAATTTTCCTGCTTCAGCCTCATGAGTTCTAGGATTACAAGTGTAAATCACCAGACCTGGCTCTTATCCCCTTTCACAGATAGATAAATGGAGACATAGAGGGTGATTGATAGGGAGGTCCCACAGCTTGTCATAAATGCAGCCAAGATTCTAATGGAGGGTGGGAGTGTAGCAGAAGAGAAAGGTCTTGTTTGTTTTGGTGTTTGAGACAGTATCTCATGTAGCCCTGGCTTGTCTGGAACTCCCTGTGTCCTTGAACTTGATCCTCCTAATTCCATTTCCCAAGTGCTAGGATTACCGACCGGTGTGCATCACCACACCTGGCTGAAAGAGGGGCTCTTTCAGTATTAAACTTGAAATGGACAGTGAAGCTGAGTGTGGCGGTATGTACCCATAATGCTGGCACTCAGCAGGTTGGCGCAGTAGGCTAATTATTAACTTAAGACTACATAGCTGGATCCTGTTTTAAAAAAGCAAATCCAGCTGGACTTGATGTGCACACCTTTAGTCCCAGTACTCAGGAGGCAGAGGCAGGTGAACCTCTGTGAGCTCAAGGCCAGCCTGGTCTACATAGTATACTGTCTTTAAAAACCAAACCAAACAAAACCCAAACATCAAACCAGAAAACAGATGAGCCATCAGACCTCCAAGGAGAAGGATGTTGGAGTCCCTTCCCCTTGGCCAATGTGACGACAGACTCCAAGCCCAGTCTGTTCAGCTGGTGGACTGTGTCCACAGTGATCTGTAGAAATAACTGGGGATACTGGGGAACCCCCTGGAAACAGCACCACACTGCCCAGCAGTGGATGCCGCTGTCCTTTCCCTTCAGACAATCGAAGGAAGTATTTTCTGCCTCCATACCATGGACAGGGTCAAATGGGACTCTCATGCCTGGCCACAGAGAAGACAGCTTTCTTAATTCCCAGGCTAGCCCTAGACGGCCTCAGGTCACTCCTGTGTGGGTTTTGGGTACCTCCTCCAGAACCCCAAAGCACCAAACATTGTCCTTTGTGTAGTCCGTGCTTCCCTTCCCGTACACAAGTCTCAGCCACCAGCAGGACTTAGGGGCAACACAGTGGGCCGTTCCTTGACAGCAGAATTCACTGACTCTGTCATGACCTATGCTGACATCATCTGCCAGGTCAAGAAGAACATGGACACCCGAAGGAAGAAGCTCAGGCAGCTTTCCCAGCTGCATGAGAGCGAGTGGACCTACTTCAACAGCTACCTAACAGAGCTGCAAGAGAACTACATGAGGTAGGAGAATGTGGACACAGAGCCACGAGTGGACACCTGTCCATGGCAGCAGCCAGCAGGGTTCGGCTGGAGTGGGGCGGACTGCTCACTACCTTCACTGAGCGCAGTCAGCTTTCCTGTGGCTCATTCACAGAGCCTAGCCCTGTGGTGTGTGTGTGTGTGTGTGTGTGTGTGTGTGTGTGTGTGTGTGTGTGTGTTCCCCACTGTGTGGTAACTGACAGTTGTAATTCTAGCACTCAGGAAGGTTGCGGCAGAATTACCTCAAATTCTAGGCCAGAGTAGACTACAGAGTAGGAGCTCTTGTACACCCTTCCCATGCCAAAAAAAAAAAAAAAAAAGATCTTTTTTAAAGGCTTACATCATGGTGTATGCCTGTAATCCCAGCACCTAGAAAACTGAGGCAGGGGCTGGAGAGATGGCTCAGTGGTTAAGAGTGCCGGCTGCTCTTCCTGAGTTCAATTCCCAGCAACCACATGGTGGCTCACAACCATCTGTCAGGATCTGGTGTCCTCTACTGGTATGCTGGCATATGTGCAGACAGAATACTGTATCACAATAAATAAATAAATCTTTAAAAAAGAAAGAGAAGGGGGAGGAAGGAAAGAAAGGAAGAAAATATAGATAGAAAGAAAGAAAGAAAGAAAGGAAAACTGAGGCAGAAGCATCCCAACTTGGAGTCTAACTGGGCTCCAGAAATAGATCTGGCCTCTGTGAATGTTCATAGAGTTAGGAGAGGACATCATTCATGCTGTGTTTCCTCTGCTAACCTTATGCCAGCAAGCCCCGGAAATCTACCTGTCTTTGGTGCCCAGCTTATGTGGGAGCTGAGAGCCAATCTCTAGCCCTCATTGAGTGTCCAGCAAGTGCTTTTAACCACTGAGACTCCTCTCCAGCCCTCTTCCTACCTAGCTTCTGGTACAGGGTCTCCTTCTAAATGTGGAGTGAGCTCCAGGGACCCTCCTGTCCCTGTCTCTCCAGCACTGGGATTGAGACACACCCACCATGTTTGGCCTTTACATGTGTACTGGGGATATGCTCATCTTAATACTTTCATGGCTGGCACTTTACCAAATGAGACATGTTCCCAGTCCCCTGATTATCTAAATAGCAAAATGGTATTCTGCTTTGTTTTTTAAATGATGGCCAGCTCTGGGTTGAAAGTGGCCATGTGGAAGACGACTCAAAGGTAGGGACATTACTATTTGTTTCCCTAATAGAGCCCAGGTCAGGAGCATTGGCTCTGATGTTGGGCAGACTAAAGCTCTCTTTGTCTTATTATCCATGTCAATGAGGCTCCCCAGTCCAGCTGTGAAGGATGTGGATGCCTCTTCCATGAACGTGACCAAGTACTGGTTCCTGTCTCACAGTGTACATCTAGCCTTGCTCAGAGGTGTTGGCTGGTGAAGGGGAGATAGGGGACCCTACGTCAGGGCACTACAGGTCCCCAGCAACACAAGGCATTTTAGCCAGGAAGTTTGTAGCTGTCTGCCCTTCTGAGGGTTACACTGAGCAGGCACAGGGCCATTGCTGGAGAATTAAGTTTCCTGTGAATCTAGAGCACAAGGCCTCCAGCATATCTGAAGCAGAGTACCCAAGATTCAATATACTATTGGAAGAGCTCCAGGAAATGTACCTACATTTGATTCTGTCCTTGTGATGTCTGTCCTAAAGGAAACAGAGAAGTGTATACAGCCATCTCCCTGCTTTTCTTTTTACGTGTGTGTGTGTGTGTGTGTGTGTGTGTGTGTGTGTGTGTGTGTGTGTGTTGTCCGTGATTGGCCTTGAACTTCTGAATAGTTGAGTATGTACTGCCAACCTAGCTTATGACATCATCTTTTAAAAAATTGTTTTATGTGTGTGAGTGTCTTGCCTTCCTGTATGTATGTGTACCACCTTAATGCCTTAATGCCTGGTACCTGGTAGAAGTCAAAAGAGGTTGTTGAATGTCCTGGAATTAGAATTACAGATGGATGTGAGCTGCCTGCCCTGTGGGTGCTGAGTACTGGGCATGGGTCCTCTCCAAGAGATGTCAGTGCTCTTAACTGCTGAGCCATCAATCCAGCCCCTTATGACAACATCTTACCTCACACTAATATATATTAATGGCTGTTTTGTTGACCATGACTACTCATAACTTGATTCTTCATCAATTAATTGTCTACTTGCATTTCAAAAGCCAGCTGAGGGTTATCCAGTTTAGCAAAGCCATTATGTACCCTGTGAACACACTCTACCCAAAGCTTCCAATAGCAGCAGCAGCTGCCAACACTGAGCATTTCTTGTGTACCTGGCACTGTTAAACATTTGGCCTAAAAACAAAAACAAAAACAAAAAACCATTTGGCCTACACTAACTCACACCTCACCACAAACCTAGTGAACCATGTGAACACACTAGCATGAAGAAGCGAAGTAATTTCCCCAAGGTCACACAGCAAGCAGCAGAGGCCCAGTAGATTCATCTTCTGAGACTATACATATGCCAGCCTTCTTTCAAGATGGTGGAGCCCTCATCTCCTCTGTAGTTTCATTGTATGTCCACTCTAAAATCCCAGTGGTCTGTTATATGTGGTGACTCCTGTGCGGTCAGCTGTTTTTTGGCAGGCCAGCAGAAAAGATCACATTGCAGCCAGGTGGTGGTGGTGCACACCTCTATTCCCAGTACTCAGGAAGCAGAGGCAGGTGGATCTCTGTGAGTTAAAGGCCAGACTGGTCTACAGAGTGAGTTCCAGGACAGCCAGAGCTGTTACACAGAGAAACCCTGTCTTTAAAAAAGAAGAAGGAGGAGGAGGAAAGAAAGAAAGAAAGGAAGGAAGAAAATCACATTGACTCTTTCATCCTCTTCTTTTATTTGTTTTTCAAGACAGGGTTTCTCTGTGTATCCCTACCTGTCCTGGAACTCTCTCTGGAGACCAGGCTGGCTTCGAACTCACAGAGATCCACCTGCCTCTGCCTCCCGAGTACTGGGATTAAAGGCGAGCACCACCACTACCTGGCATTTCATCCTTTTTCATTATATGTCTTTTGCCATTTTATCCCCCAGGGAGGTGAAAATTATCAATAAAAAAGTGGCAGAAAAAAGAAAGGCCAACAATGTCTTCCTCTCACCCTCGATACTGTTTGATGATTTGTTTGACAAGAAATCCAGAGGAAATCCCCACAATGAAATGGCGTTCCTCTCAAGGTTTGTTCAAACAGAAGCCTTAGAAAAAGTCCAGTGTGAACTATGGGAGATTTCTCACCACATGGGGGAGGTGAACCGTTGCATGTCTGGGTCCAAAGGACACCTGCTGAGCTTTCCCAGTCCTGTGTCTCAGAACAAAGAATTGGACCAGGGATTATACATAGATTGTGATAGAGACAGTTTATTTAAAAAACAAACAAACAAACAAACAAACAAACAGCTGATTCTGAAGGTTGAGGTAGGCTATAGAGCTAGGTCAGGGCCGAGAGCCAGGAGCCTCAGATGCCACTTGGAGTCACTCACAAAGCACCGCCTTCTTCAACTCAAGGTCCCGGCTCTTCTCCCACGTGCTGCTTTGTCACCCATAGCCATAGTCAGGAAGGTTTCCAGTCTTTCTCCAGTTGGCTTCTTTCGTCTGTTCTACCTGCTCACCCTCTCTCCAGCCCTTCATCTCAATGCCTCTCTCCATCCCCACACTCTTGCCACAACTTTTTCCTGAGACCTGTGGTCCCAGAAATTGTATGGGGAGGTTGAGGGATTTAAAAAAAAAAAAAATCTATGTGTATGTGACTGCATGCAGATATGTGTACTCCATTCATGCAGGAGCCCAAGAATGACAGAAAAGGGTGTCAGAAACCCTGGAACTAGAGTTATAGACAGTTGTGAGCTGTCATGTGGATGCTGGGAACTGGACCCAGATCTTCTTTAAGAGCACTGGGTGCTCTTTTTATTTTTATTTATTTTTATTTAAATTAGAAACAAGCTTCTTTTTTAAAGATTTTATTTATTTATTATGTATACAACATTCTGCTTCCATATATATCTGCACACCAGAGGAGGGTACCAGATCTCATAACAGATGGTTGTGAGCCACCATGTGGTTGCTGGGAATTGAACTCAGGACCTCTGGAAGAGCAGTCAGTGCTCTTAACCTCTGAGCCATCTCTCCAGCCCAGAAACAAGCTTCTTTTACATGTCAATCTCAGTTCCCTCTCTCTCCCCTCCTCCCCTGCCCCCACGGACCCCCATCCCACCCCCTTTCTGCTCCCCAGGGAGATTGAGGCCTTCCATGGGGATCTTTAAAGTCTGTCATATCATTTGGAGCAGGGCCTAGACCCTCCCCAGTGTGTCTAGGCAGAGAGAGTATCCCTCTATGTGGAGAGGGCTCCCAAAGTCCATTCTTGTACTAAGGGTAAATACTGATCCACTATCAGTGGCCCCATAATTGTCCAGACCTCCAAACTGACCTCCTTGTTCAGGGGGTCTGGAACTGTCCTATGCTGGTTTCCCAGCTATCAGCACTGGGTGCTCTTAATTGATGACCAATCTCTCCAGCCCCAGTGATCACTCATTTACAGCTTCCATGTTGGTTGGAGATGAACCTTTGGATGCTCTACAGTAGGAGGTGGCTGCAATCCCTTCATCATAAAAAGTTTTGTTTGAATATATCCTGAAAGACATAAACTTTACAAAACTAAAATTACATCTAAATAATAGTAGCAATGATCACACTCACCCATAGCCCCAGAAAGGGCAAGAGCCAGGAAAGCTATGGCCATGCTCATCCCTGGAGAGCCATCCTTGTAGAAGTTGTTCCCTGCAATGTGACCCCTTGCACTGCTAATAAATAAATAAATAAATAAATAAATAAATAAATAAATAAATAAATGTGCACACCTTTTATCCCAGAACTCAGGAGACAGAGGCAAGTGGATCTCTGAGAGTTTGAGGGCAGCCTGGTCTACAGAGTGAGTTCCAGGACAACCAGAGCTACAGTGAGACCCTGTCTTGGAAACAAACAAACAAAACCACATACTGATGGATCCATATTGAGACTGTGATAAAATACAAAATAATAATTTTAAGGCAGAATCCATTGGTGGAAGCGATTAAAAAGAAGGTAGCATGAGACAGCATCTGCATCCTCCTATGGCTGCAGTATTTCCACCCCTTGCTGAGGTTATTCATAACCCTACGCACATCCTACTAGTGTTCTTCTGACCTCATACTGCTTCCACCTCCCCGAGGTGTCTTCTCTGCTTGTTTGTTTGCTGGCTTTTACCATTTGCTGTTTGTTGTTATATTTCCCATGACTTGAGCTGTCTCATAGTTCAGGGGGAAGCTCCAAGAAGCCCACAGGAGCCAGCACTGGTGGCTGGGGCTCCCTTCTTCTGGAAGGGAAGCAAGCCATCTGCACAGGGAGGTCCTGAGCATCAGCAGCCATTTTTCTCAGGACCATTCTGTTCCTGGGGAGGGAAAAACCTGTCTGTGTTCTGGAAATGGAAGAAAGCAATGGAGCAGGTACCCTACATTTAAATAACCACTCAATTCCCTTCATTTTCTTTTGGTCTTATAACACTGGCCTCTTTAGTTTCTCTAGGAAACAAAAGCCTTTAATTATCGTGACAGTTTGAGTCATTATATAAATTAGGATTATATCTAGATGAACCTCACAGAAAAATCACAGTGGTACAAGTGAATCCCTGGAGGTGCAGACTTGTGTGTCTACCTCCCTGTATTGTGTACTTGTCCTCAAGGTCAGGATCCTATTTCCCCAGAGTCATGTTCAGTCTTGGCCCTCAGGCTGCTATTAGATTATTAGTGAGAGGGTGTGGCTTTGCATTGACCCTCACTTCCATTCCCTTCGCCAGCCTTGCCAACTCGTGTTTTTCTCCCAGTGCGTATCAAGGTGCCAGTGAAACTGCTTCTGGAGAAACCACACTGAATTTCTGAACTGGTTTTATTGACATCCATTTTGCTTCCCCACAGGAAGAAAATCAAAGATGTAGAAGAGAGACAGAAGATTCTCTCGTCCTCTTCCTCATTCCAAAGGCCAGTGGATAACTATTCCCTGGGCCTAAAAAGCCCCTACAGAATCGGGTCTATTTCCAGGTGAGGTGGGCCAGAGTGGGAAGACAAGGAGTTAGGAAGTCCTCTTGCCTAGATAGCTCCCTCAGTGTTTGCCAGAGAGACCTGGTCGGGAGCTTTGTGCAGAGCTACCACGTCTTTCAGACATTTTACTTCCCCTTGCTATTGGAGGTATTGCCATAATAGTACTACACTGTCAGGTGACAACGAAAGCTCTATTTGCCAGTGGTTTACTCTGTGCTGAACACTAAGAAAATAAACCCAGCACAGACATGACCTCATATGAAAGTTAAACTTTCCTGAGGGTAGGGACTAGTCTCAGTATCTCAAGCACAGACACAGGTTCAGCCTACTGCTGCAGGCACCTGTGGGGATGCAGCAGTAGGTACCCACAGCCCCAGATGACAAGCAACTGGTGCCAGACAGCAAATACATCAGCAAACTAGATGCCCACAGTACTGGGGTCCCTGGGAAAATGAAGCAGGGGTCCAGGAGCCATGCAGGAGTAATGTCATTGAGTCTGGCACAGATGACAGAGTTTCCTGGCAGAAGGGGGGGCATATGAAAGAGGGAGCAGCTAAGGAAAGCAGAGCCAGGGAGAGGTGACACTACATGGGAGGAAGGCAGAGCAAGGGTGGGGAAAGGCTCAAGAGGTCGGGGCCGCCACATGGGAGGAGGTAGGGGCCGGGTATGGTGGGACACAGGGACTTGTAAACTGTAAACTGTCTCTGGACAAACAAGGAGATTTTTATGAAGCCCCTTGTTTTCTGTCATGGGAACTACTGGAAGATAATCAGCAAGGGCATCACTGATTATATTTGACTTTCCAGAAACACAATAGCAGGTTTCTGTGATCACGTCTGGGGGGCTTGTAAAGGCTCCCACAAATCCTTGTCTGTACTTGGGGCCTGTCTGTACCTCTCAATCAGGGATCCTCAGATTTTCCCAATCTTGGCTCAGAAAAATGTTTCAGAAACTAGCCCTTAATAACATATTACTAATTAAGAAACCATTTACAAGCAGAAAGTGGTGGCATGGGGGCTGTAATTGTAGCACTTGGGAGACTGAGGCAAAAGGATTTTAAAAGAACAAGTACCTTGGTATCTAACTGGTGAATTAGTTCTTTTTGTTGCCATAATGAAACACCCAAGGCTGAGTATTCATGACAAAAAGAGATTTATTTAGCTTACAGTTCTGGAGTTTTCAAAAGAATTGTGTGTGACCGGGTGTTGGTGGCACACGGCTTTATTCCCAACACTCAGGAGGCAGAGGCAGGCAGATCTCTGTGAGTGCGAGGCCAGCCTGGTTGCCAGAGCGAGTGGCAGGGCCAGGGACCAAAAAAACCTTTACCCAAAAACCAAAAAAAAAAAAAAAAAAAAAAAAAAAAAGAATTGTGTGTGAGTATACTATGTGTGCTGCTAAATCCACAAAAAAGAAACCAGAATTTTAAAAGGATCACACACACACACACACACACACACACACACACACACACACGAGCCCAGCCTGCACCTGTAATCCCAGTATTCCCGAAGTGAGAAGGAAGCAGAAGTGGAGGCAGGAAACCCCACAGAAGCTTGTGGGCTAGCTAACCTTGTAAGCAACAACAAAAAGACCCTATCTCAAATAAGGTAGAAGACAAGATTGTCCTCTGACAGACACATGTGTGCCATGGTACACATGTGCCCCCCAAAATATCATACATACCATACACACGTGCACACATACAAAGGGATGGTATAAACACCAGTGTCAGCTGACTACTCCTGGGAGACCCCAGGTAAGCATCAACCAGGCCAACAGGTTCCCTTTTGGTTTACTCCACAGAAAAGGTCAAGGTGTGGGAATTAGAGAAAGTGTCAGAGAAAGTGTAGGTAATTGTCAGTTCATTGCTGTCACTTCTGTGGTCCTTACCATGCCTCTTGAGTTGGGAAGTCTTGGAGCATGCCTGGCTAGGTGTCCTGGCCAGGCTCTACTCAAAAGGACTCCTTTTTGCTGGGCCCTGTACATGGGTAAACCCTCAGAACCCAAAGGACAGCTCGAAACAATCTGTAATTCTAGTTCCAGGGTATCTAATGCCTTTTTCTGGCCTCCAAGGGCACCAGGCATGCACATGGTGCACATATGTACATGCCAGCAAAACACTCATACACATAAAATAAAAAAATAAATCCTAAGAAAAGGAAAGTTTGTTATTTTAATTGAAGTAAGACGAAGTAAGGCAGAATCATCTGTCTCTTTGTTTTTTTGAGACAGAGTTTCTCTGTGTCGCCCTGACTGTCCTGAAACTCACTCTGTAGACCAGGCTGGCCTTGAGTTCAGAGATCCACCTGCCTCTGCCTCCTGAGTGCTGGGATTAAAGGTGTGCTCCATCACTGCCTGGCAACATAGTCATCCTTTAAGGGCTGAATAGAGAGGCAGCAGTGGTCTCAGATCACTGAGCTTTTAATGTCAGCTCCCACAGGACCTCCTGGTTCCATGGCCCTCTGTGGTTCTTATCCCGAGTCTCAGGCTCTTTCTCTGTAAAATGGGAATGATAACAGTATTTATGGCTTAGGGTCGATGTGCAGAATGAATTGGTCAGCTCTTTGTAAAGCCCAGAACACAGTGCCTGATACAAGCAAAGTAGACATAACTGAAGTTATAACATCATCATCATTAATGTTACTGTTTGAGACAGGTGTCTCACTGTGTATCCCAGTGTAGTCTCAAACTTAAGAGCCTCCTGCCTCAGCCACCTGAGTGCTTGATTACAGGTGTGTGCCATGGTGCCCTGCCCTAGGAGTGTGCCTTAAATTAAGCAGTGAATGTTCTGCACAGCTCATTGTATGACATGGCTGCCCCTGTGCCCCTTTCCATTCTTCAGCAGCTCTTTGTACTTCTTCCTCCCTGGCACAGCTATTATCAGGCTGCTGTAGCTACTTCCACATTGTTCCAAAGCCTGCCACTTTCAGGGCTGATCCTGTCACTTTCATTGGTCACTAATAGGTTGTGATTCATTTAGCTCTATTATCAGTGAGCCAGGACTCTGTTCACTTGTCCCCTAGAATGATTTTGTTAGGCCTGAGAGCTAAGTCCAGCTGTCTATTTTAATTTGCTTGCCTTCTTGATTCTTTTCCCCTCTTGTGTATTTACCACAGTCCACTCAGTCCACTCAGAGTCTTCCTTGGTTCTATACACTAACAACCCTTCCG